CGATTTTCAAAATAGCTATGTGAAACATACACACATGGTATATAGTTACAGTTTGATCAATAATATCCAGTGTTTGCTGTATACTTGTTTGTTTTTTCATACAGTAATATTTGAACATGACCTCCAAAGCTGCTGTTGTCTAGTTTAGTGGCATTTGCCTATCTGTAGATCTGCAATAGATGTGTTTCCCACTCAAAATTCTTAACCATCACACCCAAAAATAGCTTTTTTTTTTTTAAAAAGTTAGGATATCCATGTGTTTATAGGATGAGTGAATAAAAAGAAACTATTAGAAACTTGTTAACATCTCGATCAATATCAATTTCATGAAAGAGTTGACAACTTTCTTAATATTTTTGTCACAACGTAAATATTTCAATTAAACAAGTAAGGAAAAACAAAAAAAGCAATGTCATCAACCTCTGTTCAAAAGAGGGAGTATATTTTACCTAGGTAATAAAAGTAAGAAATTTTTTTTTAAATTTCTGAAGAAAACAATACAGTATATTAATAAAATTTAATTGTGCTCATAATGATTACGGTAGCCACACTTTACCCACCCAAGCAAAATGGAATTTATGAAATCTTTTGTATATACAGTGAATGGCAGAATGCTGTACCTTATTTATAAACATACAAATTTGTAAATTGCGATCTCCAGCTTTCAAATATTTAATCATGGCTGGTTACATTTGTCTATGCCTATAATATGCACGCTAACCTTTAAGTGATACTTACTCAAGATGAAATGCTTGTTGAGTGGATAATGTTGAACTAACTTAATAACATTTAGAACTTACAATGATGTCACAATACCAATTTTGAATTAGTCAATTTCAATTTTAACAGCCATTTTAATTATAAAAATTTATATTTATAAAATGATTTTAACATCCCTAGGTTTATGCCATTCACTGTAATTACTATTTTTCAATTATACTACTGTACACTTTTTCTATTGTTTAAGTGAAATCTTGGTAACCTTCTTTGCAGCATGTAACATGCATGTCCATTTTTCCAAGATCAATTACACTCGGGTAAACTTGTTTCAAAATTGCAGGAGAATTTGTTAGGTTAATTGATCTTAATTAATAAATCAAAATAATCTGATATGCAAAGTGTGTGTAACCTGATTTACGTAACATCAAGCTTTCTGAAAATGACTTACTTGGGTTAGATTGTCTGTCTGTATGTATGTATGTATGTATGTGTATGTCTGTTCTACTCATCTCTCAAGAACCTGTCATTGTATTCTGACTATAAAAGCAGGGGGAGTCGTCAACTGCAAATGCGACAACAGCCTTAGCATGTTATTGTTGTTTACAAATACGTGTCAACCCATATGCCTTTGCATTTTTAGTAAGTTATCATTGTTTAGAACTAAATTCCCATGCTTGCATGGCGGATCATTCCTCAGCTTGAAACTCATATATGTAGATGCTCTGGGGTAATGTGCAAACCTAATTAGGTTTTGATTGAAATCCATGCATATTAATTACATAATTTGTATAATAATTAGCCAAATTTAACTGTTCTAATGATATTAATAGAACTTGGTGCATATGTGTGTTGTGGTGATAATGCACAGACTTAATTAGTTTAGGGTTGAAAAAATCCCAGCATATTAATTACCTAATTTGCATAAATCAAGCATAAACCACAGACTGCAGACAGCAGATGTACAATCAAGTGTATTTCTTACTGTTGTACATTTCAATACTGCAAATCACATTGCTTTCTCACATTGGACTCGGACATCTGATGACCACATCTGTATTAGCTATTAAACATGCTTCTTGATTATTTAACCTTTTTCTCTTAAAGTATTTCTTCAGTGATCATCTGAATCTGCATAAAAGTTGAAAGCAGATGATTTTTATGTGTGTGTATTACATGATGCATAAAATCTCGATACTAAAAGTTTTGAAAAAAATAATGTACTGTATTAGTGTTTAAATTTTATATAAAGCTAGATGGTCAATTTTCTTTTGCTGTCCTGTAACCCCTAAGTGTATGGTTGTTAGAAGATTGTGTTCACATATGTCGTTGTCGGCGTTGTCATCGTTAACTTTTTCTAATATTATTAATATTAAAATATTGTATGTTTACATTGCAATAACCTACCTAACATAATTAATGTACCTTACATAATATGGTATACATGTGTTTATAAACCTGATTTTCTCTCCCTCATAGGATTAACGACACCTCTCTATGCACTTATTAACCCCGTCAACTGAATGTTTGACACGTACAACTTTAGTAGTTAAGCATTTTTAGAAGCTAGCATTTCAGTCTACCTGTAAACAATCATGTGGCACAAGCTGAAAGATATGGTGAAGACATCCAAAAATGGAGTGGTCCGGCGCATAAGTATCAAGAGAACGCCAGTACGATCACTCGCGAGACAAGGCCGACTGAACAGCGTACAAAATCCAGTAAACTCAGGGGCATGCACAGATGAATGGCAGTGAGTTGAAGACATTTGTGCATGTGCGATCAGCCTGCAACCCCTACATGAATGGAATGGTTTGCTCCTTCTGTTCAGACTATTTCATTAATGTTAGGGGTGGTAATGTGATGTTAAGTGTACTAACCCATGGCTGACTGTGTTGTAATATATTGCAGTGTACTAATATAGTATATTTTCTTGTAGTATATATCTTCACTATTAATATTGTTGTAGCTGAAACGTCTGGTGTTTTGAAATGAGGTAATATCAACAAAATAAAAACACTGTATTTTCTCTGTTAGAAGCACATCCTAGATGAAATAGTGCTGATTTAAGAGGCTTACAATTCTAAAAAAAATTTTAGGTTGTGTGTAACAGACATTTTCATTCTATGGCTCAGTGCTGAGGTACTAACATCATTGAAAGTTTTGAGATGTTATTTAGAAAATGATGAGGAATTCTTCCATAGTGACAGTTAAAAATGTTTACAAATGACCAGTGTATTAGGCTGTGCTCCTGATGAATAAAATACATTTTTAGGAATAAAACGGTAACCCTTTCAAAGCCCTAGTAAAACTTTGTTCACTTCTCAAAAATGTTGATAAAAAAAACCTTGAACCAATGAAAGATGATGTCCACTTGGATCAAAATTAAGAAAGACATTATCGAAAACAATTTACAGCGTGTTGCATTAAAATGGGGGGATTCTATATAAGTAAAACTGAAGTTAACTTGAAATTAAATTTACATATTATGTAAGTTTCAAATTTGATGTGGATCCGAAAAACAAGCAATGATTTGGAAACGTCATCTGCAGTGATTCGTCTGGGTGCGTAATAATAATCCGGCTTTTTCAGCTGCAACGGTTTTGTAGATTATTGTCTAACAAAAATAATCCCATTTTAATTTAACACCTACTTATTGATATTTATTATACGTCACTGTGCTTGACTGGCATGTGCAATTGTGTGTATGTAAATTTTTTTTTTCTGTTTTTTTTTTATTTTTTTCCATCCATAATTTGTAAAACTTTTATTCTTTATTTATAAATTCTTAGTACTTGATTTTTGTTTCAATATGTAAATAGCATCGTCACGGTGAATCTTTAGTTCACGCTCTCCTGCTTATTCTCAGAACTTGAGGAACTACAAATGTCATGTTGTATTAGTCACATGATCAGGTCATGACCCCCCCCCCCGCCCCGACCTCAAAACTTCATTCTCCAGAATTGAGAATTAAGTTGCAAAATACTTGTCTTAATTAATGCATTGAGACCTATCTGCCCATAAAATATAGGGTACAATTTTTGTGTTGTCCCCAAAGTGTTAATTAAACTGTGATGTTCACGCTTAAGGTTCAGTTCAGTGACAACGTTCCATATATCTATTATATATATATATATATATATCTAAAGTCAGCACTTTACAAAAAAAATGATCATATATTACTCTAGGAATGTTAATATCTTTTAAATGCACAATTATGAAAATGTTTATATATCATGTACAATAGCACATCTTAAGGCAACGTGCATTTAATTAAATTTACCATAATTTCTTCTTGGGACAGCGCCCTCTATTGACATCTTTTCTCTATTCAGTTCATTATCACTGTTCACACTGATGTATTTTTTCATAGTAATTATTCACCGATGTTTTTTTTCATTTTCAGGTTTTTGTTCATGCAAATGACTTTTCCACATATTTAATTTTTTTTTTAATATAGATCTATCTATGTCTACGTTTATCATTTTCATCTTAATATTTGTAATATCAGTGTTTTTGTGAATTGTGTTGTTTTTTGGGTGGCTGTGAGGCATGTCTGTGTTAATTCCTTATGCCTGACTCAATGCTGCTTTCTTCATGTGGCTGGAAAGACTGATTTTATAGTGCAGCACCCTCTGGCAGTTCCACTGAGAAAAATTTTGTTTGTGTAGAATTGTTTTTTGCTGTCATCTGACAACAAAGCTAGATATTTTTTTCAAAACCTGTTTTGGTAGAGCAGATAACTGACAAAATTCATTCTCACTTGCTGTAGAGGGCGCTATATCACCACCAATCTTTGCACTTGTACAAAGTTTTGGATAGTTACACTTGTTGTGGCTGAAACCTACCTACCAGTGGTTGCCATGGTTTCCAAAACTGCATTCTTGTTTTCCCTACTTTAAACAATATGTTATGTTTATTTCCCCAAGGCTGCTTGCTGAGGTCTATAATCTAGCCGTTGATGATGATAGTCAAAGATGGGAGAGATTGACGGAAGGACTAATACCGGTTGTCGTCAACTGTGTTCAAGAATCTCCCAAGCACATCTTTCATATCGTTGGTACCAGTTACCCTATGGGCAGGGTCCTGGATCTCCAGATATCAGTACCAGGTATGCTTTATTTGTATTCTATATTTACAGTCATATACTGCTCTATTTGTTGCAAGCAATTTATGTCTCCCTTTCCAAATGTTATTTTGGATTGTCATTTATCACATCACTTTGCATTGTATTATATCACACACATACCTCTAATACTGCATCATACACATAGCATTGAATTGTGTTGCATTGCTGCATCTTAAAGCAACATATCACATACATATTGCATTGCATCGTATCACATACTCATTGCATCATATCACATACATATTGCATCATATCACATACATATTGCATTGCATCATATCACATACATATTGCATTGCATCATATCACATACTCATTGCATCATATCACATACATATTGCATCATATCACATACATATTGCATTGCATCATATCACATACATATTGCATTGCATCATATCACATACATATTGCATTGCACCATATCACATTCTCATTGCATCATATCACATTCTCATTGCATCATATTGCATTGCATCATATCACATACATATTGCATCAAATCACATACATATTGCATTGCATCATATCATATCACATACATATTGCATTGCATCATATCACATACATATTGCATTGCATCATATCACATACATATTGCATTGCATCATATCACATACATATTGCATTGCATCATATCACATACATATTGCATTGCATCATATCACATACATATTGCATTGCACAATATTGCATTGCATCATATCACATACATATTGCATTGCATCATATCACATACATATTGCATTGCACAATATTGCATTGCATCATATCACATACATATTGCATTGCATCATATCACATACATATTGCATTGCATCATATCACATACATATTAGCATTGCATCATATCACATACATATTGCATTGCATC